TCGACCAGATTCATACCACTCAGTGGATTACGCGCCACTCCGCGCTCGTCCTCACCAGGAACCAGCAGTTGGTCATTGACCTGACCTGCACCGCTCCGCGGATAACGTGCCGCACCACGTACGCCCTCAGGGCAAACAGCAACCTCGTTGCTAACAATTTCGGACATACCAATGTCCAGCACTACGGCCGCCTCGGCCTCGTGCTCGCGCCAAAAGCGCTTCTGCTTCCTAGCAGAGGTGGGTTCATGACTCACCAAAGCTCCACTAGGAGCGGGGTGCGACGCACCCAGCGTTTCCGACTTTTTAGTCGATCCATGGCTCATGACGTTCCAGCCATGCCATGCCAAGGATGAGGTCATACCTCGCATCCAGGTCTAAGACCAAACAGCGTTCCACGCTATCGAAGTTCTCAAACTTCACTCCAAGGTCGACAGAGACCTTCGACACAGTTACCAGTGTCCCCGTCGCGAGACGGACAGAGATCGTATCTCTCGTTGGCACTTCCAGTGCCTCAGCATACAGCTGACTCCCTTCCAGGGTGGAGCGACGGGCGTAGTTGCCCGAGGCTCCCGAGTCAATCAAGACTCTTCATGGCTTTACAAAGCCCTTCACGTTTGCTTGAACGACCAGCAAGCCCGGCTTGCACACACTCTTCTCGTAAGAGAGCTCAGCTCTCTTCGGGGCTGAGCCCCGTTGCCCTCTACCTCTTCGAAACACAACAGAACTCAGTTCTTCCCCAGTAGGCCGCCCCGCCCTACTGGGAATTGCCGTTTCCCGGCGATGACCCGGAGGTTTAGCAGCGTTCTCGGGAGTGTCGTCGCCGATAGTGGACGTGATCGCGAAGAGAGTCGAAAAGCGTGAGTTGCAGTATCTCGTACTCACCGCCACGTATGAGACGTTCTGGTTGTCTCGAGCGGCGTTGGCACCGGAGTTTGGAACGATGATACGTGCCTTTGAGGACGCAGATCGGAAGAAGAGAGGTCTGCCGGAGTTGCGTCGGAACGTCAGATTGGTCGAAGCCAATGCTGATGTCGACGATGCGGAGGTGTTGTTCTAGCTGGCAACGGGAGCCGGTTAGAATGTGTGCAGTTGTGGGACTGCACGAGAGTGTTTGGGACTCGCTGAGTCTCAGAACACTGAGTGACGTGTACATATTTTCTATTTTGGAACGACCACGGGTTGTTCTTTGGGTTTTACGGAGTTGGGTATTTTGGGAACGTCACGAGCATACGAAGACTGAGTGTGTCAGTTTGGAACGCGAAGGAGTTTGTGAACAATCAGTCTGGAAAGTGAGGAAGTTTATGAAGCAGTAGTTTGGAGTCCGAGGGAGTTCGGATGCGTCGGTTGGGAACAAGAAGAAGTGTTCAAGAGAGATTCGTTGACGATAGAAACGGAGAGTTAAGAACAAGTCACGACAACGAGAAACGACGGAACGTTACGGTTAAAAGGGAACGAGAGCTACGAACGGCTACATCGCAAAGACGTGCTACTTGGCGGCCTTCTTCTGGTCGTCCTCCTCTTCGTCCTTGTCGCTTTCCTCGTCGCCGTCCTCGTGCTCGACGAATTCCTCCTCTTCCTG